GGGCTTTACAATGATGGTGCAACTTGGAGAAATGTGGGGATTAAGTGGGTTAAAATCTTCCTAGAAGTGACACAGGCATGTCAAAATGCTGAATTTTGGCACTTTAGCAAGCCTTTAGTCATATAAAATATCAGATTAATTGAATTCTCCATGTGGTCTATATTAAAGGGCACTTCATTTAATATAACAGGCAAATTCAATATTGGTGCACAATTTCTACTTAACCCCCTAAAGTCGATCTAAGTAACATAATAAAAAATCCCCATCAAAATGTTATTTTTTTTTGCATTGGATGTGTCTCAATCCATCGGATCCGCCGATGTCGCACTTCCACAACTACGGTGAAAGGTGGCAGAGCTAGAGCGGTGTTTGTCAGACCATGAGACATCCCGAAAATCGATCTTCTCACGAAAACGTCTGTAGCGTCTGAACGGTTTGGCCTAGAAACTATTATGGAAAGGGGAGACTCTCACAAACACGATGGTGCTCTCCGTTTTGCTCTACGACCCCTACAAGTGTTAGGGGACTCGTCTGAAGGTTACCGGTACCGGTTTTAAGAAATTAATGGAAGTATGACGGTCGTTTTGTGCCTACCTAAAAAAAAGGGGTTAAATATGTGTAAAAGATATATATGTATATATATATTCCCTGACCTTTCTTATATCGACTATATGGACAAATACTTAAAAACACTTCAAAACATTGTTTCTTATGTTGTTGTTTTTTTACGTTTAAAATAAAAAGAATACAAATGTATATATTCCTAAAGGGGTCCTACAATTCTAAATCAAATAGTAAATGATCCATAGTATGACCATCTTAAAACAATTCCATATGTCAGCTTAGAACCCCCTGCTCACATATCATGCACATAACTGGTGTGTGTGTGTGTGTGTGCGAACTTATGCCGTCATTGCTTTTGTCTATAAATGTGTGTGTGTTTAACCCCAGTATCACGAGGCCCTGCAGCTGTGTCTGGACCAGAGCCTGACCATCACTGAAGACCTGGCTGAGAGTATGACTGTGACCAAGGAGTCCAAAGACCTCTCAGAGGAGGCCCGCAAGGAGCTGCTGGAGAGAATAGCTGACTGCTGCATGCGCCAGGGCAATTATCACCTAGCCACCAAGAAATACACACAGGCTGGCAACAAGCTAAAGGTGAAGAGACTGGGGTCTGGGGTGCATCTCAGTAGTCTGAAGAGGCATCCTCACCTCATCTCCTCTATTTCCTCCTCTTGTTTTTCTTCATCTCCTCTATCCTTCATCTGCTATGATCTGAGGAATCTGATTTAAACAACTGAGATGCACCCCACTTATACACATACTATTAAACAATACTCCTTAAGACACCATTATCATGGTAGCTTGTAGTTATATGGATTTATGTTATCCAAGAAACGTGCGATCCTTCATTTTCTTCATTGTATTTTCTGCTTTACCTTTGTCTTTAGGCAGGTGGATGTTAGTTACAAGCATTAAATACAATGTTATACTATAATTGTCGCTTAAGTTTGGTCCATGTCTATTGATACAGTACTTAAACTCTCTTGTTGCAGCTATTCTAAAAAGTGACTCCAAACATACCTCCCTTCTGTTCCTCAGGCCATGCGGGCGCTCCTGAAGTCAGGGGACACAGAGAAGATAGTGTTCTTCGCTGGCGTGTCACGTCAGAAGGAGATCTACATCATGGCCGCCAACTACTTGCAGTCTCTGGACTGGCGGAAAGATCCGGAAATCATGAAGAACATTATTAGCTTCTACACCAAAGGCAGGGCTCTGGACCTGCTAGCTGGCTTCTATGAAGCCTGTGCCCAGGTAGGGAACTACTTCATAATATTTAAAGTTCTTGAAAAGGTCCTGCATGTTTATTAGTTTTAACTTCTGTCTGGTAATATATTATGTATTGGGCATATATTACAATTACAGTACATTTCAAGTACAGTTATTCCGACATTTGTAAAAATATGCATGGATATTCAGGTAATGCTAACAGATTCATAACTTTGTCTCATAAACCTAATCTCTAATGTACTTCAATATTGAGGGTGAATGTGTGAATCTGTTTACCTCTGTTAGGTGGAGATAGATGATTACCAGAACTATGAGAAGGCGCTGGGTGCTCTGACGGAGGCCTATAAGTGCCTGTCTAAAGCTAAGGGCCGAAGCCCAGACGAACACGAGGCTCGCATGGCCGAGCTGCAGCACAAGATCACCCTGGTCAAGAGGTTCGTCCAGGCACGCAGGTAAGAATACTGCACTCTCTCTCTTTGTCCGTCTATTTCTCTCTTTCTGTCTCTCGCTCTCTCTCTCTCTGTCTTTCTGTTTCACTTTCTTTTAGTCATATATTGAGTGGCAGTCACAACTACAAGGCTCTTTCATGTAAATGCCATGATCCTCTGATTTAGGTTTGTCTTGATACAAGTAGAGTAGTTACGGAGAGGATATTTTGTGGATCTCACTGAAGGAGATTTGATGTGTAATGTGTGATCCTGTCTGTCCATCCCCCGTCCCTGTAGGTTGTATGAGGAGGACCCAGGTGAGGCGGTGCGTCTGTGCGAGGCCCTGCTAGAGGAGCCAGACCTGGACCCTGCTATCAGGATAGGAGATGCATACGGCTTCCTGGTGGAGCACCACTGTCAGCAGGGCAGCTTCCAGGTGGTGAGTGTCTAGTGATACTAGTGTACACCGTCATCACCATAAACATCAACATTTTCAGCCTCATTTTCATCATTATCATCTTGATCTTGCTTGTGGTCATTACCATTATCGTCACTGTCGTCATGAATCCATGTAGCTGGATACAATATTTATAGACCTATACATACAGCAGTGAGCATCCTAATTCTCAGTCCATAACCTTGGCTCGGCAGGCCTACCGCAAGCTGGAGGAGCTGCAGAAGCTGCTGCCCTCACTGAACATCAGCTACTATGTGAGCCAGGGCAGCCTGGAGGCCCTGCAGAGGGCAGTGGGTTTACCCCTGGGCCGGGGGCAGCTCTCAGGAAAGGGAGACCGCCGCGACAGTGGGGGAGAGGAAGACGAGGTGGAGGAGGACGAAGCCCTGGTGTCCCACCAAGGGGACTGAGGACTGGGACACAACCCTGGTCTTGTGGGGCTAGAGGGTGTGCAGGGTTTTGTTGTAGCCCAACGCTGTCTCACCTGATTCAGCTAATCACGGTCTTGATGAGCAGTTGATTAGTTGAATCAGAGTGCTAGGCTGGGACAAATGCCTGCACATACTGCAGCCCTGCAAGAACAGGAATAAAGAACGCCTCACTAAAGCCACAGAGACTTTTACATTCGGACTAGAGAGACAAGGTGGCCTGATTCTATGGCCATTTCATACAGGGTTAATAACCTAACACGTTGCACCCTCCAAGAGGATGGATAGTATGCTCAGTGCAGATTATAATGTTACACCTGATGGATCACTCAGACTAATCACTAATTACACTTTTTATGAGTATAGTTATGGTAGATGAAATTCTAAATATATTTACCATACAAATAGTTGTATTTCAAATATTTTTAACACTAATAAGCCTCTACTTCCATTTGACAGAAAGGAAAAATACATTGCTATACCTCGCACAACTATACAATTTGAAGTTCCTGATAATTTGTTTTGCTGATGCCAATTTGCTTTTTGCCTTATGCAGAATGTCATCTTTCAATGCAAAACAATGCCTCCTTTGGATCTGAAAGTTGTGTGCATCTTGGACCTAAACCGTCCTGAAATTGAAACACACCATATTTTCTTTACCTGAAATGCATTTTGTACTTGTGGTCAGTTTGTACATTACAACTGAATGTGGTTTGTGTTGTGTGTTTTGTACATTTATGTGAGTTTCATTGAAATCCTTGAGATATTTTGTAAAGTAATCTGTATAGTATTTTACACATTTTAAATAAAATGTTTATACCTTTCTTGGGTGATGCCAACAAACCCACACACACACACACATCAGAAACACACAGATGGTCACCTGATAGTGTTGTTTTATTTTGTCTACAAAAAAATGTATTTTCACAACAACTTGACATCTCATTCATTTATTGGCAGGTAGAGATATATTGCCATCTGCCTTGTCACTCGAAATAAATGGCAAAAAACCATGCCAACAGCGAAAATGTGTCTGTTCTCAAAGTTGAGAGTCAGAAAGTTGTCCTTTTCATCATCCCACAGGGTACGGCTTGCAATCTTCACTGTCTGGCCTTTCTTATCGCCGACGACCACCCTGACCACGTATCTGTAGCGGTCGAACACTTGCTCTTTGCAGAATGCCAGGATATCTGCAGCCACTTTATCAGCCACATCTCGACAGTTGTTGTGGTCGTAGGCAAGCTCACCGAATGCTTGGTTCATCAACTCCTGGCCTTTCTTCTGAATTAAATGGGGAAGAAACTTCTGCTTTGGTCCCAATCTGTAGGTGTTGGCTAGTTTCCCTTTGAACCCTGATTTCCAAACGGAAGACCCTCGTTTCACAGGGTGGGGGGAGTCGTCGTCATGCATATCAACGTCCATGGTTGAGCCTCGGAGCCTGTCAGTATGGCTATCTTTGCGAATCCCTTTCATAATGCTACCCCGACGCTCAGCCATTTCTGGAAAACTTTTTGAAGTTAAAAACAAGTGTATCTTCAAGGACAGATAAACAATTCAGGTGGAGCAGCGAGTTGTGAAATTTTGAACCAGCTGTTCCAACTGTCATCGCACAACACGAGGGCGGTGTTGTGAGACCCTGCTCGAGCTCTGAGAGTTTCTCAAAGGTGGTGAGCTTTGAACTATTTCAGACAAAACATTTTTTCCCCAAAACATTAACAAATACATACAATGCGTTACATTTGATAAATGTAGCTCCTATTCGTCGAAAAACAATTTTTTTAATGTAGTCTATTTAGGTCAGGGGCCAGTTTAGGGTCCATAGCAACAACCAATGTTGTAGATACAAGACACCTCCTAGCTCTGGAATTTAGAATAATTAATTTGTTTGGCATTAGAAACATGGACTCATGGGACCACCGTCCGTCTTTAAATGAACTACAGGACAAAATTCGTTGTTTGACAGATGAAAATGTAAGTAATCTACTTTGACAATCCTTTTAAACTGGCCTATTTTGGTCAAACTTTAAACATGAACCTTCCAGGTTACCTTGTAGTTGCATCAAGCTTTAATATCTTCAGTAGGCCTATGGTTTGTATATCTGAAAAATGTATAAAACAAATTCTTCATTGTTTAAAAAAAATATATATATATACCAACCAATGTAGGTCCAGCTCCGTGACAAAAATGAAAGCCTCTTTACCAAACTGGGCTACCTTGAGAGCAGGTTGGGCTATCTTGCAGGCTCCAAGACTGACCTATCTTCCAAACTGGTCTCAAGTGAAGAGGAAAAACTGAAGGTAGGATACATGAGACTACATTGTGTTTGGACATCTATCAATCACTTATGTATGATGTAGACCTCTTGTCTTTTTGTTAACTGGAATATTTATCCTTTTATATCCCTTTATCCCTCAGATATCCAAGGAGCTTGTCGAGGTACATATACAGACCAACAAAGTGAGGGAGCAGTATGAAAAGGACATTTTTGACCTGAAAATAAAGGTGATGCTCAAATTAATATGTAGTACATAGTCATTACAGACCTCTGGACCCTACTTTACCCACCTGGGCCCTACATAGGCATTACTCACCTTAATAGAAATGATCCCATCCCTGATGCACAGATAGTACTCTAGTATCTCACCCTTCCCTCCTCAGATCCTATCCCAGGAAGGGGTGGTGGTGGAGATGGAGATGGAGAGGGACAGGCTCTCCATGGAGCTCCAGTCTGTCACCACCCGCCTACAGGTGGCCGAGAGGACAGGAAGTGACCTCACAGAGGAATACGTGACCCTGAAGAGGAACTACCTGGCTCTGACCGAGGCCCACGAAAGGGAGGTGGTCCAGAATGACGAGCTGAGCGCTGAGCTGCTTGGGCTGGCCCAGGCTCGTGATGCCCTCTTCAGGCAGGACGGAGGAACAGCAGCAGCGTGTTAGGGCCTCTACAGAGGGTTGTGTCAATGGACAGACTGCTCAGGAGCTGGACAGGGTGCGGGCGCTGGTCAGCCGTATGTCTCACAATAGAATAATGGTGAGAGGGAGATTTGGTTAATTGCCACAATGACAATTACCACTCACTTTTCACATTTCTTTATTCTGTCATTTGACAGAAATCTGTCAAAATACATTTCCTGTAAGGCACAAAAAAATTATATAATACCTTCTGGTCCTACCAATGTGGCTATATAACTTCATCATTGCTCAAATTTGTTCTTCTCTTATCACAGCCAGAGGACCTGGCTATGTTGGATCAAGAACGTAAATCTATGGAGAAGAGTGTGAGTATATATCTGAATACAACAAGTCATGTATGAATGTCAGTAATACTTTGAACCTAATAGCTATGGAACTCAGTGCAAGTGAGGCATTATGTAAGAGAAAACTGAATAGTGCCTAACAGTTTCACATCTGATCAGTGATCAGTTTATCATAAATAGTCAACAGAGCCATAATATACAGTGGGGGAAAAAAAGTATTTAGTCAGCCACCAATTGTGCAAGTTCTCCCACTTAAAAAGATGAGAGAGGCCTGTAATTTTCATCATAGGTACACGTCAACTATGACAGACAAATTGAGGGGAAAAAAATCCAGAAAATCACATTGTAGGATTTTTAATGAATTTATTTGCAAATTATGGTGGAAAATAAGTATTTGGTCAATAACAAAAGTTTCTCAATACTTTGTTATATACCCTTTGTTGGCAATGACACAGGTCAAACGTTTTCTGTAAGTCTTCACAAGGTTTTCACACACTGTTGCTGGTATTTTGGCCCATTCCTCCATGCAGATCTCCTCTAGAGCAGTGATGTTTTGGGGCTGTCGCTGGGCAAAACGGACTTTCAACTCCCTCCAAAGATTTTCTATGGGGTTGAGATCTGGAGACTGGCTAGGCCACTCCAGGACCTTGAAATACTTCTTACGAAGCCACTCCTTCGTTGCCCGGGCGGTGTGTTTGGGATCATTGTCATGCTGAAAGACCCAGCCACGTTTCATCTTCAATGCCCTTGCTGATGGAAGGAGGTTTTCACTCAAAATCTCACGATACATGGCCCCATTCATTCTTTCCTTTACACGGATCAGCCGTTCTGGTCCCTTTGCAGAAAAACAGCCCCAAAGCATGATGTTTCCACCCCCATGCTTCACAGTAGGTATGGTGTTCTTTGGATGCAACTCAGCATTCTTTGTCCTCCAAACACGACGAGTTGAGTTTTTAACAAAAAGTTCTATTTTGGTTTCATCTGACCATATGACATTCTCCCAATCCTCTTCTGGATCATCCAAATGCACTCTAGCAAACTTCAGACGGGCCTGGACATGTACTGGCTTAAGCAGGGGGACACATCTGGCACTGCAGGATTTGAGTCCCTGGCGGCGTAGTGTGTTACTGATGGTAGGCTTTGTTACTTTGGTCCCAGCTCTCTGCAGGTCATTCATTAGGTCCCCCCGTGTGGTTCTGGGATTTTTGCTCACCGTTCTTGTGATCATTTTGACCCCACGGGGTGAGATCTTGCGTGGAGCCCCAGATCGAGGGAGATTATCAGTGGTCTTGTATGTCTTCCATTTCCTAATAATTGCTCCCACAGTTGATTTCTTCAAACCAAGCTGCTTACCTATTGCAGATTCAGTCTTCCCAGCCTGGTGCAGGTCTACAATTTTGTTTCTGGTGTCCTTTGACAGCTCTTTGGTCTTGGCCATAGTGGAGTTTGGAGTGTGACTGTTTGAGGTTGTGGACAGGTGTCTTTTATACTGATAACAAGTTCAAACAGGTGCCATTAATACAGGTAACGAGTGGAGGACAGAGGAGCCTCTTAAAGAAGAAGTTACAGGTCTGTGAGAGCCAGAAATCTTGCTTGTTTGTAGGTGACCAAATGCTTATTTTCCACCATAATTTGCAAATAAATTCATTAAAAATCCTACAATGTGATTGTCTGGAATTTTTTTTCTCAATTTGTCTGTCATAGTTGACGTGTACCTATGATGAAAATTACAGGCCTCTCTCATCTTTTTAAGTGGGAGAACTTGCACAATTGGTGGCTGACTAAATACTTTTTTTCCCCACTGTATAAAGAGTACGGCCAGGTTTAAAAACGGCTGCCATATTAGCTCCTTTATTCTCTAAATGTTGACGTAACAATACGAAAGCGCCTATGACAATTCCCTATGAAATGACCAGCTGTAAACAAGCAAAACAGCAGCGAATTTATCAGACATTTTTATTGATTAGCATTCGGAATAATGTGTATCCAAGTCTGTACTGTGTTGTGGTGTCAACAAATCTGGCTTCACTAGACATCTTCATAGGTTTAGAAAACTATCAAAACTAAACAGCACAACACGGAAGTGTGAATTATCACTTAGCAACAGCTATGGAGGAGAAAGTGGCACTCCCGGAACGTTCAGACAGAAACCGCATTGGCCCAACTCTCTCTCTCTCTCTCTCTCTCTCTCGCTCTCTCTCTCTCTCTCTCTCTCATTTATATTTATATATATATATAATAACTCTGATAGTCAGTCAATATTCACATCCCTTTTCTCAATGTTCTTCCCTAGTCTTCTTCGGGCTCGCGTCGTCGCGCTCGCGTCTCCCGCGAAAGTCCTCCTGATCGATCTCTTTTCAGTAGATTAATATATATATATTAATATATATATATATATATAGATACTATATCATATATATATATATATATAATGAACCTGATTAGTCCAGGTCAATAGCATATTCACATCCCTTTTCTCAATGTTTGACATAGCTGCTTGGGAACCAGGATGTGATCAAAGACATGCTGGAGCAGATGAAGAAGAGCTATGAAGAGCAGCAGCACAGACTGGAGGAGAAAGTGTGAGTAGAGAGACACACTAGTCTAGTATGAAACATTTATGCACTCACTAACTGTAAGTCACTCTGGATAAGAGCGTCTGCTAAATGACTAAAATGTTAAATGTAGTCTCACATGTCTTTACATCAAAACCCTGGACCCGCAATAGCCTCTCTGGCTGCTATAAACAGTAGTGATTGAGGAAACAAGGCATCTTGTCATTATCCTTCACTTTCAGTCATCAACTGGTCTAACTTGTCTCAGGCTGTTCACGTTAGCCACTGTAGCCTGTGTCTGCTTTGTGATCTTCTCTTTGATTTGGTTTCTGTTTTACTGTGGTCCACGCTACAATTTTGGGATTCTTTTTTGTGATGTGGTCTTGTCTGGTATGTGGTCTCTGACATGTTTTTACTTCTCCTGTGATGGGTCTTCAGGGTGGCGATGGGCAAGGAGCAACAAGAGACCAAGAGAGCCATCCGCAATACCCAGCAGAAACTAGCCGAACAGAGTGCGGTAAGAAAGAGAGCTTCACCGGTGTCCGGTCTACCAAATTATCGTTTTATACCATAATTGTCTTCAATCAATCAATCTGAATCTGCAACTTGATGGTCTGTAAAAATGTGAGTTGATTTGGTGTGTGTGTGTGTTCCTATTCAGGCCATGTTGAGCTCTCAGTGCCAGCTGAAGGAGGTGGAGGAAGAGAACTCTAAGCTACAGATGCAGGTGAAGGAACTGAATGAGGAGTACCGTGCCAGACTGGTGCGCTACCTACAGGACCTAGCTGTGAGTACACACTAAGACAGATGCATGCACACACGTAAACTACACATACATTATGCACAGTCAAACAGATGCAGGGATTGGCAGCCTAGACATATACAGACAGAAAGACCCCCATTTTCCTACCCCACGTCCTTCCTGACCCACTACCACTAGCCCCCAACCTCCATCACACCACAGTCATCAAAGTGAACCCACACCACCCATGCTGTGGAATCTATTTTGGTCTGTGCCTCTTGTCTCCAGGAGTATGTGGATGGTCTGGTGGAGGGGAAGGGGGTGAAGGGCCCCCCAGAGAGGGTGAAGATGAGGGGCTTTGTGGACAGCATGCTCCAAGAGGTGCGCTCCTCCTACAGGGCCAGAGAGGAGCAGCTAGCCTCTGCCGCACGCTCCTACAAGAAGAGACTGCAGAGGCTCACTAAGATCCACCAAGCCCTGCTTATCGCATACAGGTTAGCCCCTCTCATGCCCTCCATGTTGTATTTCTGTGATTTACTCATTAATGTGGATAGCACATGGATGGTCCTGTCATCCTTGGTTAGGTTTGTGTGTGTGATTAGGAAACTTGACCCCCAACCCATCTCTCCGTAGTCTTTCTTTATTGGCCGAGGCTGGGTGACCGGATCTAACCACCCTGTTCCACTCCCGTCCCGCCCCCAGAACGCCTCTTCCCCAGAGCTAAACAACCCCATCATGCATGTGTTTCTTTACGCACACATTTCTAAACAGCTGAAATAAAAACCCTGCTGCGATTTGAACGAGCATTCCCCCGCCCAAAAAATTAAAATTTTTGTGTGTGTAGCTACAACCTTCTCTGTCTGTTTGATTTATTTGATTTGATTTATTAGGATCTCCATTAGCGGACGCCAATAGCGACAGCTAGTCTTACTGGGGTCCGACACATAACGAAAAAGACATTACAGACAAAATACTTTACAATTTACATACATTTTAACATGTAGTGTGTGTGTGCATCTATCAGTTACACATACGTCAGTACAGTACAAGCTGATAGGTCTGCTGTTAGAATCAGTAAAGGCCGCTTTACAACTCTTGGGTAGCAGAATGACTTTGGCTTCCCTCCAGGCCTGAGGACAAAGACTTTCCTCTAGGCTCAGATTAAAGATATGACAGATAGGACTGGCTATAGAGTCAGCTACCATCCTCAGTAGCTTTCCATCTAAGTTGTCAATGCCAGGAGGTTTGTCATTATTGATCAATAACAATAATTTTTCCACCTCTCCCACACTAACTTTACAAAATTCAAACATACAATGCTTTTCTTTCATTATTTGTTTTTTTATGAATGAGTAAGATGGCCCACTGTTTGTTGTTGGCATTTCCTGCCTAAGCTTGCCCACTTTGCCAATGAAGTAATCATTAAAATAATTGGCAACATCAAATGGTTTTGTGATGAATAAGCCATCTGATTCGATGAAAGATGGAGTTGAATTTGACTTTCTGCCATTAATTTCATTTAAAGTACTCCAGCATTTTTTTCCCATCATTCTTTAAATTGTTGATCTTGGCTTCATAATACATTTTCTTCTTCTTTTTGTTGAGTTTAGTCACATCATCTCTCAATTTGTAGTAAGTCAGCCAGTCAGATGTGCAGCCAGACTTATTAGCCACTCCTTTTGCCCCATCTCTTTCAACCATACAGTTTTTAAAATTCTAATCAATCCATGGATCCTTAAGTTCTAACAGTCAGTTTCTTAACAGCAGTGATGTAAAGTACTTATGTAAAAATACTTGAAAGTACTACTTAAGTCGTTTTCTGGAGTATCTGTACTCTACTTTACTATTTATATTTTTGACAACTATACTTTTACTTCACTACATTCCTAAAGAAAATTATGTACTTTTTACTCCATACATTTTCCCTGACACCCAAAAGTACTTGTTACATTTTGAATGCTTAGCAGGACAGGAAAATTGTCTAATTCACACACTTATCAAGAGAACATCCCTGGTCATCCCTACTGCCTCTGATCTGGCGGACTCACTAAACACATGCTTCATTTGTAATTATGTCTGAGGTTGGAGTGTGCCCCTGGCTAGACATAAATTAAAAAAACAAGAAAATGGTGCCGTCTGGTTTGCTTAATATAAGGAATTTGAAATGATTTATACTTTTACTTTTACTTTCGATACTTAAGTATACTTTAGCAATTACATTTACTTTTGATACTTAAGTATATTTAAAACCAAATACTTTTAGACTTTTACTCAAGTAGGATTTTACTGGGTGACTTTCACTTTTACTTGAGTCATTTTCTATTAAGGTATCTTTACTTTTAAGTAGGACAATTTGGTACTTTTTCCACCACTGCTTAACAGGTGCATGTTTATCAGTAATTGGAAGAAGCAATTTCATAAATTCATCAAGTGCAACGTCTGGATGCTCCTTATTAATCACATCAGACCAACAAATATTTTAACATCCTCCACTTAAGAGTCACAGCAAAATCATTTGTATGATCTCTTATTCACTATTTTAGGCCAAGCTTTTGGAACTTTGGCTTTCCTGGATATAGCCACTATATTGTGATCCATGCATCCAATGGGTACGGATACAGCTTTAGAACAAAGTACTACAGTATTAGTAAAAATGTGATCAATACATTTTTATGATCTTGTTCCTGTAGTGTACATTATGTAAACACCCTGGTAAATTGATTAATAACCTGAACCAGATTACAGGCACTGGTTACAGTGAGAAGCTTCCTCTTGAGCGGACAGCTTGATGAAAACCAGTCAATATTCAGGTCCCCAAGAAAGTAGACATCTCTGTTTACATCACATACACTATCAAGCATTTCACACATTTTATTTAGATACTAACTGTTAGCACTTGGTGGCCTATAGCAACACCCCAATAGAAAAGGCTTTAGATGTGCCAGTTGAACCTGCAACCACAACACTTCAATAACACTTGACATAAGATCTTCTCTAAGCATTACAGGAATATGGCTCTGAATATATACAGCAACACCTCCCCCGTAAGCATTCCTGTCTCTTCTATAGATGTTATATCCTTGTATTGCTACTGCTGTATCATCAAATTAATTATCTAAGTGAGTGGCTAATATATTAATGTTATCTGATGTTAGTAAGTTATTGATTTCATGAACCTTATCTCTAAGGCTACATATATTCATATGGTCTATTTTCAGCCCTTTCATGGGTAGCTTATCAGAGATGGACAAATATGGAAAAGAGCAAACGAAGCAAGAGAAAAATATAAATTCAGCAGACCATGAATAAGTTGGTGTGTGTGTGTGTGTGTGTGCTGTGGGGTTGAAGCTATGAACCGATAGGCTCTCATCCATCCCTTCCAGGCTTTTGGGATGGAGGGTGGACAGTGAGCCTGTCATAGCGGATGTAAGCAATGTCACCATGCGCTCTGGCAGCTTTCATGGCTGGGATAAGTTATTTCCTCTTCTGGCACACAGCTTCAGGATAGTCCTTGTTGAGGAAGATGTACGTTCCTCTCAAGTTCTTGGCTCTTTCCAGAACAGCTACCTTGTCCTTTAACCTCAGGAACTTGACTACTATTGGCCTGGGCCTGTCACCTGGGCCGGTGGTGGGTTTTCCAGTCCTGTGGGTGCGCTCCACGTCAATCTTCCTATGGTCCATCTTCAGTTTCTCCGAGATAATTTCCCTCACTTTGTCCTCAGACTCTGTTCAGGTCTCGTGGAGATTCTGTAATTTTGTCCACAACCATGTTGTTCCGCCTTGATTGTCCCTCGAGATAATCAGATTTCTCCGTCATTGTTATCATGAATTCACATACAGAACGGATGTCCTCTCTCAATGACTTACAGATTGCTGTCATCTTGCCGTTCTCCTGTTTAAACTCATCGAGCTGACCCTGGGAGAACTGCAAACTGTTCTTCAGGTCCTGGACCTCTCTGGTCAGGTCGTCCGTTCTTTTATTAGTTGACTCCACCAGTATTTTGACACAACATTTGAAGCTGTTGTCTTGTTGTTGTAGCAACTGCTTGTAACTCTTTTTGTTTGTTTAAAAGATCCTTCACCTGTGATAGAGAGACACCACTGTCCTCAATGGTACTCCCGCCGGCTTTGGTCTTTGTCATGGTAGCAACGTAGGTTACGCTGTTATTCCTCGCAGTTCCAGACAGGGCAGGTCGCAGGAAAGATTGGAAACAACAACAACAAATAGCAGGGATGTAGACAGCCACAAGCCCGGGACAATCTGCTGTCCCAACCACAATGGCTAACCGCGTCGTGGACTGCGTTCAAGCCCTCAAGAAAACCCAGCTAGCTTGATAGGCAGCTAGCTAGCAGCTAGACTACCTGCTATGCCAAGCAGCTCCTCAGACCCAGCCTTGGTCGGCAGGATCACTGGACAGCTAGATAGTAGCGGTCCCAGCAACTGATGGCAACTGCGTCGCGGGATGCAAACTCAAAAGGTAGCTAGCTAGTAACCAAACCTTTTCAATAGACTTTCAAAACTTTCTCTCCCTCGTTCCGTGTTCAACAGAATGCTTGTGGTCAGAGTGCATGGGTAAAATTGTGAGACAACACATCCACCAGTGACAATAATAAAGCATCATCTTAACTAAGAATATTGCAGTAGCACAAACATAAGCTGGATGCAGACATCATTTTTTGCAATATCCTTATCCTAAATGTGAAACCAAACACATTTAGCCTACATGACAACATCATGTGTAACATGTAGCCTAGCTCTGTCTACACATTGCATTGGGGCAAAATAACTGTTCTTTCGCTTCTCAATGATCATGCAACACCAAACAATTTGATATACAGCACATCATTGCAATTCGCTAGAGTAGCCTGTTCCACCTCTTGGCAGCCGAACTAGCTAAACAACCGTACCTTCTGCGCATGTGCTATCGGGAAGAGGCGTCCAGAGAATCCGGTCAGATAGCCACTCTGTTCTCTATTGCCTTGTCTTTCCCCTGACTTTATATCTCCTCTATCACTTTTTCACACTATCACTCTTCATAAACTGGTCCCACGTCCGCAATCTAGAAACTCATAGCCACCAAATGACTATGGCTTCACAATACCAAACACCTTAAGACAGCACTCTTTCCTCTGTATGTGTGTCAGGGTGCAGAGGGAACAGGTCCTGTCCCAGCCAGAGAATGGCCTGGACCCCGGCCCCCCTGAGGCCCACTTCAGCCTGGAGCCCAGTGAGCTGAGGGGAGAGACGGACAGGGAGCTCCAGCTCCTACGCCAGGACAAGGCCAGGCTGGAGGGCCAGCTCCGAGAGGCTCAGGAGCAGGTAGTTATACAGACAAGACTGATTTTAGACTGAGTATTCTAGACCGTGTTTATTGTGTTTTGTGTGTGTTATTCAGTGTTTTGTCTGCATTTATTTTTTGTTTAGTCTGTGTTTACTCTTTGTTTTGTCTGTGTTTTGTCACGTTCCTAAATATAGTCTGCATGCTGCATTTTATGGGGGTTTTGTTGCTGTTTTGTTGTTGTTGTTGCTCAGTCAAATTTAGAAATTACTTGATCATTCATTGATTTGTACCTTTTTTTAGGTGGCTGTCGTCACTAGACCTATTCAAACAGTCAACTTTCAGGAGTAAGTAATATCTTTCAAAATGACATAAAATAATAATCAAATGTATGATTGAAGTAGACCATAAATAATGCTCTAATCTTGTACAGTTTTGGAAAATCAGGGCAGATATCTGAAGAGGCCTGGGCCGACATTAGGAAAGAGTTACGGGAGATCACAAACTCTACTCAAGTAATAACATACCCCTCTACTTACACAAATCACAGATATGAGTCCACTGCTTAACCCTCCCATATTAACTTCTCTTTTAAGAATCAAATTGTTATAACTGTATAACAAAATAATCTGTTTCTATGACATGAGTTAAGTTGAAATGGAAACATTCCTGTTGTCCAAACAGGAGGGCCATGAGAGGGAGCGTGCCCAGCTCATCACCAGGGCTACAGTTGCCGAGGAGCAGGTGTTAGAGCTGCAGGAGTATGTTGACAAGCACCTGGGCAGGTAACAACACCACTATTGTCATGTTTTTGGATCTGTCTAGTTACTAATAGGACATAGCAAACTCATAGAGACATGATGTCTGTATTGTCTATTCCATTTTGATACTCAGATCTCATAAATGTACCTGACATTTTCTCCCATAGCTACTGAGTTCATTAAGTGCACTACTCAACAGAGTGGCAGGGTACTGATATCTGGATTTAAGGATAGATTACTACAGTCTGAGTAAAAGGGTGTTTTAGATGAGCGTTGTCCCTCTCTACAGGTACAAGCAGGAGATCACGCGGCTACGTAGACTGCTGGGTCTGGAGACGGGACTTGCCCACAGCGCTGAGGCTCCCAAACCCCGTCAATCCGTCTCTCCATCAGGAATCCATGCTATGAAATATAATCTTCCACCCCCCTAAAAAACAAAACAACACATGAACCCTTGCTTTGGTATCTAACCATATATATGAAATCTGTTTTGGCTACAATTACATAATAATGGACTCCATGGAAAGGCATTTGTTTCAATATTGCTTTTTATTATCATTTATAAAATAACAGTTCATCACTTCATTGACATGACTGTAATATTGTATTTATCCTTTATAAAAGGTTTACAAACAACTGATACTCATTTAGGTCAGAGCTTAAAAATGTTTTTACTTTACTATCGTATTGTAACATGACACAGTTATCTTGCCATGTAGAAATAAATGTGCTATGGATAAAATTGCCCACACCATAAGTTTGTCTAACTAGGCCTAGCAAGAATATGATCAGTAGTTTTGCAGTCCAAGAGTTGCAACTTGGTGGACTGCACTTGCAACTCTGCATTATTGACCTTGGATCAAAGATAGAAGGAACACATAGAAATAGGAGAAGTGAAAAGACCAGAAAATAATGTTTTTGTCATTAAACAAAGATGTTTGAAAGGAAAATAAATAGATGTAGTTTGAGGAAAAGAGCACTAGAGAGGGAGCTATGGAGAGGAACTGATAGAATGGAGGAAATTGAGAGAAAGCTGGATATATTTAGAGAGAATGGGAGGAGGGAGAGGGAAGAGAGACAGACAGGAGACTGAGGAGATGAAGGAGAACTATGAAGGGGAGGTCAGAGTTGAAGCAGAGAGAAACCTGATGGTGGTCCTACCTGAGTTACAGAGGAACATCATGATCTCAATGACAACGGTGCAGAGGGAGCTCAGCGGACAGCTGGAGGAGAAGGATTGAGACAGAATTTAAAAGAAATGCAATAGTTTTCAGAAGAGGTCTGCATGACCACTTTGATATTTAGCTTACACATACAGTACCAGTCAGAAGTTTGGACACACCTACTCATTCCAGGGTTTTTCTTTATTTTTACTATTTTCTACATTGTAGAATAATAGTAAAGACATCAAAACTATTAAATAACACATATGGAATCATGTAGTAACCAAATAAGTGTTAAACAAATCAAAATATATGTTATATTTGAGATTCTTCAAATAGCCACCCTTTGCCTTGATGATAGCTTTGCACACTCTTGGCATTCTCTCAACCAGCTTCACCTGGAATGCTTTTCCAACAGTCTTGAAGGAGTTCCCACATATGCTGAGCACTTGTTGGCTGCTTGTCCTTCATTCTGCGGTCCGACTCATCCCAAACCATCTCAATTGGGTTGAGGTCGGGGGATTGTGGAGGCCAGGTCATCTAATGCTGCACTCCATCACTCTCCTTCTTGGTAAAATAGCCCTTACACAGCCTGGAGGTGTGTGGGTCATTGTCCTGTTGAAAAACAAATGATAGTCCCACTAAGCCCAAACCAGATGGGATGGCATATCACTGCAGAATGCTGGGGTAGCCATGCTGGTTAAGTGTGCCTTGAATTCTAAATGAATCACAGACAGTGTCACCAGCAAAGCAACCCCACACCATAACACCTCCTCCTCCATGCTTTACGGTAGGAAATACACATGCGGAGATCATCCGTTCACCCACATCGCGTCTCACAAAAATCTCCAATTTGGACTCCAGACCCTGGTCATCCCTACTGCCTCTTACTCACTAAACACACATGCTTCGTTTGTAAATGATGTCTGAGAGTTGGAGTGTGCCCCTGGCATCCGTAAATGAAAACAACAAGAAAATTGTGCCGTCTGGTTTGCTTAATATAAGGAATTTGAAATGATTTGTTATTTTACTTTTACTTTTGATACTTAAGCATATTTAAAACCAAATACTTGTAGACTTTTACTCAAGTAGTATTTTACTGGGTGACTTTCACTTTTACTTGAGTCATTTTCTATTAAGGTATCTTTACTTTTACTCAAGTATGACAATTGGGTACTTTTTCCACAACTGGAAATGCATTTATTCATGTCGACATTCGATTTTGACAAGTATATTATATTACAGACACCTTAATGCATACTTTTAAATTATATTAAGTGAACATGAAAAAAATAATATATAAAAACATATTCCTTAAAATATTTGTTTTATAGAGTACTAATGTTACTATCCCCACTACAACAAAGTAATACTTAAATACATGTTTTTAAGAAATACTTTTAAACATTTAATTAAAATACTGTAGAATTCCATTCATTCCTATGGAGGACTGCTCCTTCTGGGGAGTGCCAAAATGGCGGCTGGTGGCTTTAAAACCTCTCAATGGCCATTACATAGCATCAGCAATCCAGGGTTTATACACATCATTGCAACACGCAGAGAGTGGAAAGGCGGAGTTTACTGAAGTCACCTGTACTGTAAGTTCCAGTGTAAAGGTGAAAGTCTAGTTAATCAACACCGAAGGAGATCTATCACATGCATGCATCTGCAGATGACCTTTGAAAATGCTGTTTGAATTTGTGTATAAAAGGATTATGTGATATAAGTGCACAGTATGGTTTTCACAAACGATGTAGTGACTTTCTGGATTTGAATCAACAATCTTTAAATTAGGTGGGAGACATAACGAAGACCATTAAAGGTAAAAGTGAATGTCTGTATTTTTCACCTTCAAAAATAGACAAGTTCTTGAGGAAGGTAATTTGATAGATGAATAGAGGAATGCATAAGGAATAAAAAAACAACACACTACAATTCTATGAAAATAAACCAATGCAGGTTTTATTACTTGATTATCACTCCCTGATCAAAGTTTTTATTATGCAGGGAAAATGGCAGAGTCCAGAGATCATGGTAAGTCACCACGTTACAGTCTCAGAATTTGAATGGTTAGGCCTATTTTTGCATGAATTTACCTTGAGAAAGAAGCACTTCACAAACGGTTTGTTTGATTCCAAAGTGTGCACGTTTGTCAATGGTCTGCATGTATTTGTGTCAGAGATAACCCAGAATGTTTCTCTTTCCCCAAACAGATGAGTTCAAACTTACCCCCCAAAACAAAGTGGAGACTTATGTTGACCATGAGGTCACCCTCCCCTGTCACTTGTCCCCTGAGATCAGTGCTGTTGCCATGACAATCCGGTGGTTTAAGAAAACACAGTGTATTTACCTGTATAAGAGGGGCCAGGTGACAGAGGTGAGGGGCTACAAGGGAAGACTGAGTCTGATCACCCAGGAGCTGGAAAGAGGCAACGTGTCTCTGAAGCTGGAACGGTTCAGAATGTCAGATAGAGGAGTGTACATATGTCAGGTCATCCATGGGAAGCAGCTGCGGGAGGTTGCAGTGGGGCTCAATGGTAAGTGATCTACTAAAGTACATCATTATGAACTCCTGGAGCCTCATTTATAAACGTTGTATAAGCACAAAATATGCCCCAAAACATGCGTGCGCCAGTTTTCACGCAAAAGGTAGCATTCATAGAAACTCAACTTAACGTGAGAATGATCTTATCCTCCCGCCAACTTTAGACCACGCGTATGCAGTTTCTAGTGGTTGAAGTATTGCATTGCAAGAAGGCAAAAGTAGCCTAGTAGCCTTGTGCAAATGGGGAATATATGATGACTTATTCATAACAAAAAAACAGGTAGCTAAATACCAAGATGCAATCATTGACTGTTAGTGACAGTTGATCTTTTGCATTGAAGTGTAGTTGTCATCTAAAATAAGGAGGCGCGACAACGAGGTTCTATCTTCAGCATGTTTACAAGCCTAGTCTGCGCATGTCATACATACAGTGAGGGGAAAAAAGTATTTGATCCCCTGCTGATTTTGTACGTTTGCCCACTGACAAAGACATGATCAGTCTATAATTTTAATGGTAGGTTTATTTGAACAGTGAGAGACGTAGAATAACAACAAAAAAATCCAGAAAATCGCATGTCAAAAATTTTATAAATTGATTTGCATTTTAATGAGGGAAATAAGTATTTGACCCCTCTGCAAAACATGACTTAGTACTTGGTGGCAAAACCCTTGTTGGCAATCACAGAGGTCAGACGTTTCTTGTAGTTGGCCACTAGGTTTGCACACATCTCAGGAGGGATTTTGTCCCACTCCTCTTTGCAGATCTTCTCCAAGTCATTAAGGTTTCGAGGCTGACGTTTGGCAACTCGAACCTTCAGCTCCCTCCACAGATTTTCTATGGGATTAAGTTCTGGAGACTGGCTAGGCCACTCCAGGACCTTAATGTGCTTCTTCTTGAGCCACTCCTTTGTTGCCTTGGCCGTGTGTTTTGGGTCATTGTCATGCTGGAATACCCATCCACGACCCATTTTCAATGCCCTGGCTGAGGGAAGGAGGTTCTCAACCAAGATTTGACGGTACATGGCCCCGTCTATCGTCCCTTTGATGCGGTGAAGTTGTCCTGTCCCCTTAGCAGAAAAACACCCCCAAAGCATAATGTTTCCACCTCTATGTTTGACGGTAGGGATGGTGTTCTTGGGGTCATAGGCAGCATTCCTCCTCCTCCAAACACGGCGAGTTGAGTTGATGCCAAAGAGCTCGATTTTGGTCTCATCTGACCACAACACTTTCACCCAGTTCTCCTCTGAATCATTCAGATGTTCATTGGCAAACTTCAGACGGGCCTGTATATGTGCTTTCTTGAGCAGGGGGACCTTGTGGGCGATGCAGGATTTCAGTCCTTCACGGCGTAGTGTGTTACCAATTGTTTTCTTGGTGACTATGGTCCCAGCTGCCTTGAGATCATTGACAAGATCCTCCCGTGTAGTTCTGGGCTGATTCCTCACCGTTCTCATGATCATTGCAACTCCACGAGGTGAGACTTGCATGGAGCCCCAGGCCGAGGGAGATTGACAGTTATTTTGTGTTTCTTCCATTTGCGAATAATCGCACCAACTGTTGTCACCTTCTCACCAAGCTGCTTGGCAATGGTCTTGTAGCCCATTCCAGCCGTGTGTAGGTCTACAATCTTGTCCCTGACATCCTTGGAGAGCTCTTTGGTCTTGGCCATGGTGGAGAGTTTGGAATCTGATTGATTGATTGCTTCTGTGGACAGGGGTCTTTT